ATTTTAAAGATTTAATACTTTTTCACCATTTATGAGAAAACTCCATTAATAATTAATCTTACTAAAGAGTTTTTAGAAATCTGAATTTTTTAAAAAGCTCTCTTCTTCATCAAGTGTGTTAGATTTCAGTATGTATTGCAATGATCATTAGTATTTTTTATCTTTGTAAATTTATTTGAACTTTCTGCAGTGCCCTGTTCACAAAATGTCACCAACCATTGATGAATAATTTTTCACCAAGCTAAGTTGTGAAAGACTACAGCTGTTTTCAAAAATAACGGTACATTAAAAATTACATAAAACAGCAACCAGTAAACGAAATTTAGAATGCAAAATACTTCTGTAATAAAACACTCACCTGTATTTGTTTTTTGTGCTGTTTTCCACATGTACATAGTAACGATGTTGCCTTAGAAAAAAAATAATAAGTAATTGTCGAAATTCAGCATTGTTTACAACTTGGCATTACGAACACTGTTATCTCTCCACGTACACAGCAATTAAAAACTATTAAGGATTTCCACAGATTTGGCATTGTGCAAGCTGTTGTTTCTGTGTGTACATAGTGATCTCCTTTATCCTTAAAGAAAATGAGAGAAATGTGCAAATTCGGCATTAGCATACAAATTTTTATCTATACAGTTAAACTATTTGTGAAGCATATGCCCAGTGGCGCAGTGGCTAGCGCATCGCGCAGCAGCACTACAGGTCCGGCATTCGATTCCCGGGCTGGGCAAGGTCGACTCGGTCTTTCATCTCTTGATTTCCATCACTTGGGTCGATAAGATGAGTACCAAGTTCGCTTGGGGACTAAACACTGGGGGTCCTGCGACCAAGCTGACCGCTTGTTCAGGGCATATGCTTAAGCACCCCAGGGCCCACGGTCAAGAAAGCAGATTTCGGGCACGGCTTGGCCCATTAAGAGCTGTTAAGAACTTTGTGCACGTTACCTTTTTCAAGGAGGTTAACCAGAAGGTACCATATTTTCTTTGATTGTATGCAATTTTTTAATGTATTATGGCTCTAAGTATTGCAATTAATTGAAATACTAATAATGTTCAGTATTTTATTATGTCTGAATGACTACATCCAGTTCACATTTCTTTGGGAAATGACTTTAATGACATTTTAAATTTTCAGTTGTGAAGTTTTTTCTGTGATAAATTGTAAGCATTGGTAAATTGTAAATTTCTGTGATAAATTGTAAGCAATGGTAAATTGTAAATTTCTGTGATAAATTGTTTAAACATCATGTGTATCAGTTGAAATGTTTTTTTAATTTAAAAAGAAGTATTATTTTAGCATGCTTTGTCAGCATGCTATTTAGAGTTTAAGAAATATAATCATGAAATGATATGTAGATATTTTTTAAATTTTTCATATTTTTAAAACATTGGATAATTTTTTTCAAAAGAAAGTATTAAATTATTTTGTTAATATATTTATATAAATATTATTTTAAAACGGATTTCGTTAAAATAATACTTGTTTTAATTAAAAGAAAACATGCAAAAACTTTATCATTAATGTGTCATCTTTTTCTTCTAAAAATTTGTTTCATGTTTTCTGCCATTTTATTTACAAAAATAGAAAGTAAGATTTTATTACCATTGGTTCATTCATTGAACTGTTAGTAATTTTAAACTTACTGTTCCCCCCCCTTTTTTTTTTGATTTTGTATCTTACAAAAATTGAAATGAATGTTGTATTTACTAACACATTGTTCAATAAGTCCCGGGACTAACTAAGAAAACAACATCGATTTCAAAAAATTCATGTTTATTCATCAACATAATCATCATCAAGAGCTATGCAATCATTCCAGTGCTTTTCTAACTTTTCGATAACGTGCTTGTTAAACGCTTGTCCTTGTCTGCAAAATAAGCTTCAGTGACAGTAATGACTTCCTTATTCGAGCCAAATCTTTTCCCCTGAAGCATCTTTTTGAGACCAGCAAACGGCCAGTAGTCACTGGGAACTGGATCTGGTTAGTATGGTGGGTGGGGAAGCAGAGTGAAACCCAACTCGTTCAGTGTAACCAGTGTTTGCATTGATTTGTGGCATAGGCATTGTCTTGACTGAAAATGATTTTTTTCTTCATGTGTGGTCGACTTTTTTTTCCCTCTCAATTTTGTGCTTCAGATGTACCAATAACTCGCTGTAATTGACGCTATCGATAGATTTTCTCTTTTCAAGGTAGTCGATGTAAATTATACCTCGCGCATCCCAAAACACTGATGCAATGACTTTGCCAGCTGACTGCTGCGTTTTTGGACGCTTCGGACGGCTTTCACTGGCTGCACGCAACTCAGCTGACTGCTGCTTCGACTCCGGAGTCAAATAGTGGATCCGTGTTTCGGCCATTGTCGCATATCGCCACAAGAAATCCTGTTTATTGCTAGTAAACAGTGACAAACAGCTCTGTGAATCGTCAACTCATTGTTGCTTTTGTTCCATTGTGAGCACATGCAGCACCCATTTGGAAAACACTTTTTTCATGCCTAACTTTTCATGTAAAATCATACACACACTTCCAGTTGATATGTTTACTATCTTGGCAATCTCACGAACTTTCACTTTGGGCTCATTCATCATGATTTTCAAGACTTGTTTCTCATTTTCCAGAGTGACTACTTCATTTGGCCTACCTGAGCGTGCCGCATCATTTGTATGTGTGACCATGCTTGAAATCAGCATACCAACAGCAAATGGTTGTTTTCGATGGAGCAGTATCTGGATAACATTTTTCAAGACATTGCTGAGCTTGCACAGTATTTTTGCTCATGAAATAGCAATGTTTGATCAACAATTGAAATTCGTTTTTCTCCATTTTGTCCACCAAATGCACAAGTAGTATCACTTTCACCACAGTAGCTTCGCTGTTTACAGTCGGAATGCCATGAAAATCAGACACGTGTCATTTGAAGGTTAGTTCTTTCAAACAACGATATCAAGTTGATATTACTAACACCATCTTTCGATTAGTCCCGGGACTTATTGAACGATGTGTTAAGTGCAATAACTTAACTGAATAGTGCAATAACTTGAAAACTGAATGAAATAGCAGAATTTTATTCAGTATAGGAAAGTTATTTTTAGAGAGAATTTTTAAGGGGATAAGAAATGACCAAAATATGAGAAATGTTTCTATATTAGTTTTCAAATGTTAAGTATAGGTAAATGTAGTATGAAAAAAGTTGTAGCGGGAGGGTTTAGCTTTTATGCGCTTATACTTAGTTTTTTATGCAGATAATTAATTAAAATTAATTTGCTGCAAACTGGTTTTTAACCCCTTAAGGACTAGCGGAGGGAGAACAAAACCCAGTCACGAGACCGGACACGCTCAAATGGATTGTCACTACTGGCCCGCGCATTTTCAGCAATTAGGCCTAATTTTACCAAAAAAAAAAAATCATATAAAATCAACATTTTGATATTATGACTTCAATTTTTGAAGTTGAGTATTTAATTTACTTGTTTTTAATGTGTATTAATATAAAGAATATCACATTAATAGAAATAAATTAAACAGGCAAAATACTAAAATCACAACTATACACACAGAAATAAATACTATAAGCCTGAAAAAAAATTAAAATACGAAATTTAAAACACAAAAACTAAACAAGAATTATCTGTAGGTAATTAAATTTCAATTTAAAAATTCTGCTGTGTGTGAAATAATTGAAAACAATCAACACACAGTCCTCAAAATACGTTGTTTGCTTTTACTTTTCCTTGGTTTTAGTGCACACAACACATTTTCTCCTAGCTTTATTACCTTTTCCATCAACATGAATTTTCGGAAACTGTCTTCCAATTAGACAGAAAGGTCGAGTATCCGGTGATTTTGGATAAATTTTTTTAAGTAAGGTCCCTTAGCCGTGGCTAACGGAATGAAACTGAATATAACCCCAACACCATGTCCCAAAACTTCTTCAAAAAACGCTCAGAAATATTTCATCCTAAAACCCTGTGTGACATAAGATTTAGGTTAAAAAACTTCCTGTTTTCCTAAATCAAAAACAGCGTCCATGATGACGGGAAAGTGATCAAGGAAAGACCCCCACTGGCAGATATTCGTTACTGATCACGTCAATATGTACATTATATATAATTGCATTATATGTAAATACATTATATACCAAAATATAATGCCTCTGTCATTATATATAATGACCTATTAAATCAGTAAGAAAAAAAAAATGCTTGCTCTTAAGATGTGTTGTCCAGAAAGCTAAGTCTTTCCCCTTCTGTAATAATATTGTAATCTCATTTTTTAATTAACCAAGAAGCTTACATTAAGTTTCAAAATAAGTAGAAAAAAAAAAGATCAAAATAAATAGGAAAAAAAGAAAGAAAGAAAATCCTAACGAAATAAACAAAACGCCTGTGCCCCTTTAATTCACAGGTATAAAGAGCCGTGATTGGCAGTTTGTTTATTTCAATAAATCTATCAAAACCAGAAGCACAAAACAGAAACTAATGCTAGTATAGGAGGTCAAATGCCATATGAATCAACCCATGTAAAAACAGTTACCACTTATCTCCATCTGCTGGCTTTTAAAAATTTGAATAAATCATTCTGTTTTAATGTTAGGTATATGTGACACTCGGCTGGTAGGAGCAGAGTCTTTGAACACTGGGCTGGTAGGAGTGGAATCGTGGCATCTCGCTTGTCCTGAACGGGTTAATGACATTCACCTTGCTTTGACCACTTCAAATAAATCAAAATAGCATTTATCTTTTATATTTGCTATCTAATGTTGTTTCAAGTGTAACAGTTTTGGGTATTTCCGTATTATAGCAGAGTCCCCTCCCCAAATTTAATAGTTAATTAACTGAGATGTAGCATGTAGCAAGGTATAAGACCACATTGTGAAATATTTTGGTTGATTAGTCATTCAGTCTTGAGTGTTGCTATAAAAAGGAAGTTTTTAATGCAGTATGTTCTTAATTTTCATTTTTAATTAATTAAAGTGTTTTTCTTATTTTTTTAGTCATTCCAAGGGAGTCAAGGGCGTGCTTATCTATTTAATTCTGTGTAAGTATTTATTTAGTTTTATGAAATTTGTGTCATTTTTATTTTTTAAAAGATGCTAAAAATTATCATGTAGTATAATATCTTCTGTTATATTTTATATTATTGCTGTTTACTAATGCATAAAAAAAAAACATTTCAAATGGACAGTATGTTGTGTTACAGAAAAGCCATTTTATTAGCAAGATTTTTGTCATGTTAAAACTCAGCCGTAAAATTATGTTTAATATTCTAAATAATAATACATTATCACCCTTAAAACCTTTATTACCTCTAAATTATTACATTTAGAAGCTATTGTATTATAAATAACACTGGCATACTTTAAAAGATTCATTTGCATTTAAATAGAATAGTCACCACCATACGACATTCCCTCTCAGTGGATGCACAAATATTAATATAAATGTTGATTTTTAGTGCTGTTTGAAGAACTAACATCAGAATAAACAGTTCAACATCAAATATATTGCAGGAATGCAATCCTTTTGCTATGTATATGGGTATGTCATCCCCCCTTTTCAAATGTTATTAGAACAATTACTTGACACCAAAATGGCACAAATTCCCTGTTACTGATGTGTCAGTACTGTGACAGAAAATCCAGCATTTGGTGGAAATGTGAATTAATAAATATTATGCATATTGTTATATTAAACTTGAAGTGGTGATACATTTTATTTGTTAGTTCTGCTTTTACATAGGTTTATAATGATATCTTAAAAAGTCCGCATGCAGTACTACCTAGTTTGAAGCTAGTCATTAAATAGTATAGCCTTTCAAGAACCTGGTATATTGTGTAGTAAAATTGGTAAATGTCAATCATTTGCATTGTAGAACATTTAATATAGCCAAGTTGCAGGTTATTGTGCTGCTTTGTTGTGTTTGCAATGGGGTATTCTACATTTTAATTTTTTAATAATCTTGTACATTAATTTCCTTCAAATTTATTATTAATATGTTAAATCTATCAAATATGCAAATGATAGTAATAAATGATAATTTTGAAAACTCTTCTCTATCAGATATATTAAACTTTAAATTTAAAGTAGAACTGTATTTCAGAGAGTATAATTTTAAAACAAAAAACAGAAGTGACAATGCAATTTTTGTGCTGTATAGCCTTCTATGGAGGGAGAGTTCCTTGAAGCTAGAAGGAAATTCTGCAAAATAAAATGTTAAAAATGTTTGCCCATGAATCAAAAAATTCAAAAGTCTTAAGAAGTTTTTATTATTCATTAGTAATCAATTGTGAGAATCTTTGAAAATGAAAGAGATGTTTTTGTTCATATATAAAATGCATCTTACATTTGATTCTGTCTTCTTTTTTTTAACTGAAAATGTATTTCTTGTAGAGTAAATGTTGGATGTGGACCAGCTGAAGAAAGGGTTCTTCTGACTGGCCTACATGCTGTGGCAGACATATATTGCGAGTGTTGTAAAACAACGCTAGGATGGAAATATGTAAGTTTAATTTCTTTTCTGTTTGGCTATTATTAATCTGAGAAACTGGCTTTTTTATTTAGTTGTTCTGAAAGGTGAATGCAGTGTCATGACAGTTAAATATTGACATACTTTATCTTTTTAGTAAAGTGTGGAAATAAACTCCACCAGTGCCCCTTCCCCATTATCAGCAGTCACCTACTGGGAGTTCGATCCCAGGTGAATGGGCTGGCTGCATGTTTGGTTCTCATGTTTCTTTCACATGTTTAATGTCAGTATGAACCAGTTTCCCTCAGAAAGACCTCCAAAATGACTCCTTCCCTCTAGGCCAATGGTTCTCAACTTTTTTCGCAGCTTGCAGCCCTTTTACTATTGCTAGATGAGCATTCTGCCCCTTTCCAAAACTAAAAAAATGCAGTTAATACAGTTAGTAATACAATAGTTGTTTAAATTTAGATTATTTTTTATAAAAGTAGTTTTTTTATATTTATAAACCAAAAATAAATACTTCATAAGTAAATAAAAGGGTGACCGCATTCCAAATTCAAACCTATGAAGTTCTCCCTGGTTGAGAATCCCTGCTCTAGGCAGGTAGTTCTCATGTGCTTTGTTATATTCAAATATCCCAACATAAGAAAATAAAATACAGAGATAACTTACACTATTTTTTATTTTTAAAAGGCAGCATTGAGACCTATATAAGAGAAACATCAAAGAAATGCATTTTTCGACAATTTCTTAAATGATATGTGCAAAGCATAGTGACATACGTGATCTGAATCCTGTAGGTGTAGTTATCTTTAACAATATGTTTTTATTAATTACCAAAATGAGGTGTATTAGACTAGGAGCTTATCCAAAAAGTTTATTTTTGCATTTGATTTTCTTAGAATAAATGAAAATAAGTGTTGTAATGCTTCAGGTGAAGTTTCTCATTATTTTAACATTTTAATTTAGTTTAAAATACTTTTAGTAGTTGCATTAGACAAAAGCGTCAATTATTATAATCTTCAACGAAGAATTCATACACAATGTAATTGAACTACATTGTGTATGAATTTAAATGAAGTGAAACAAAAATTTTTATCAAATTGCTTTCAACAGTTTTAGCAGTAGTATTTGAAAATGAGAAAATTCCTTATTATTTGGGTTTTGTGCATGCTGTTTGCATGCTTTGTCTAGTTTTGAATGCAATCAAAAGTTTTTATTTTTTTATAGATTTATTGAGAATTAGCTTTAGTTTATTTATTTATTTTACAACAAAAGTACAATCATATGAATATCTAATTTATGATAACACTGCTTAATTACAAATTATCCTCCACAAAAGAAGATTTAAATTGTTAAGGAACTTGTACAAGAATTAACAGCTGTGTAGTCAAATGTAAAAGTGGTGTAAAGAACATATATTCAAAGTTATAAACAAGGAGGTAGTGTCATCAAAGTGTGAAATTTGCAAGCTACAAGGTCAGTTGGTACTCTCTATGTTAATGTATTTAGAGAGAAATCCTTATCATGGTATGCAGAAAGAAATTTTAAAAATATTCCAGAATTATTTATGTATAAACACTGAGTAACAATTCCACTGAAAGTACTTTGAAATGTTGAAAATGTTTTCAACATAGGTCAACATAGGAGAAAACATTTTCAACATTTCAAGGTAAGGGCTACCATATAATACAAAAAAGTCTTTTTTTAGCCTTAGCCTGATTGAAGAGAGAGAAACCATTCATCTCGGTAAAATAACAAAATCTTCTGAGGAAAATGTACTTTCTTGTTTAAAATATATGCAAATTCTAAGGGGGGGAAAATTTTTGAACTTTGATTTTTTTTTTTTTTTTTTTTTTTTTTTTTTTTGTATGAAACAAAATTTACTACCTTTTTAAATCACGTTAACTGGTCAATTATAAATAAAAATTTAAATAAATATTAAATATTGTCTATGAAGGTAACTGCATAATTAAGATTTTCATTAAGAAGATTAGTGGTAGCTAGAGAAAATAGTGATACTTCTTGTGTAGCTCTGAATTTCTCTTCATATTGATTCATTGATAAAAATATGTATTTGAGATTGCTAACATAAAAAGTGATTGCTAACATAAAAAAGACTTGGTTTATTTTCATGTGTGATGAAAAATTTTAAGTTAAATCAAACCACCATTCATAAACTTAATAGTTTCTTTTTACCTAGTAATTACAGTTAATGTAAATTATTCTAAACATTTTATATAGGAAAATATTAAAACGTTTTCTAGTTTAAATAAAAACAAAGCCATATGAGCAGCTGTGATAGATGAAGTGCTGTCTTTATATTGGGGAATACTGCAACAGGTATTGGTGACTTTCCACAATATTTGCAATACATTTCAGTGATATACGTCTGTCTGTCTTGGTTATCTGGTGGGAAGAATCCATTTCCGAGTTTCAGCAAATTCTTGAGCTACAATATCTCCATTAATATGAACTCTCATAATAGTTCTAAGATGAAGTCTGTGAATTTCATTCCAAATATATGATGATTTTAAGCATGCATGCATTTTATCAGCTCGTGTCCTCCGTGGAACAATGGGTAGTATGTTTCGAAAATCTCCATCTAGTAGTAATGAGCTAGCTAGTACTTAATGTATTAGCTCCAGCTGATACCTCTCATTCTTCTATTGTTATGTCTCAGATCTTACAAAGTAACATCAAGGGCTTCAAACACAGCTTTGTGAGACATTGTGCATTCATCCCACACAATTAACTTGCACTCTTGTAGAACTTTTGCTTTGGCAGAACTTCTAGAGATATTACATGTTTTGGTTATTTCTCAAATTTAATGGCAATTTAAATGCTGAATGAGCTGTTTTTCCTCCCATTACCAATGTAGCAGCAATCCTGGATGATGCAACAGTCAGTGCAATGTGTTTCTTAACTCGTACTTTTCCCAGTATAAGATTAAAAAGAAATATTTTTCCAGTACCACCTGATGCACCAATAAAAAAATACCACCATCTTGATTCAAAACTGCAGTCATAATTCTTTCAAATACTTCCTCTCGATCTGGTACCAGTTTCTTTCCATAGCAAACAGATTTCATAGCATTCATGGGGAGCGAGTCACAGCAGCTTCTTCCAATGTTGCATTCCAGTGTTCATCATTTTCCAAAAGTCCTCTAACTTGGCAAGATGTTTTGCACATTCTTTCCTCAGCTGTTTGCAGTTCCTGAAGTGACTTTGGAGCCTTGAACTTCATGCAACAACAATCTCAGGTGAAAACATTCTGAGATGTTTGCATGTATGGCATACACTCGACCAAGGGCATCATTTGACTTGATTCCAGGATAATCCGGTACATTGGTTCCAATGTTATGCCTGTTCCATTTCTTGTTTGTATTGTTCCATGTGTAGTACTTTGGCATTTGATGATACAGTAATGTACGTGCAAACTCATCTTCTGTCCAAAGGCAGAGGAAAAGAGGTCAAAGTTGTTTCTTTAGGAGCCTGGGCCTGTTTAGTTGCATTAGCAGAAGTGAAAAATACCCATTGTCCATTCTCTGGACACTTAAATGAATAACAGTAGGATAACGCTCGGGAATCGGAAAGTTCAAAATTCTTGCTACTGATATATCTTCCCATTTCATATTGATGAACTTGATTCATTTCATTTCCAGAAGTCATTATGTCAAAAACAGTCATGCCAGATCCTTTGTTTACATATTTACAGATATACTTTATGGACTTCACTGAATTACAGTATTCAACATTTACATGAGCACTGATCATGTCAAAAATTCATCTTTAAATATATAGTAAATGTATGTGTGAATCTCTACCAAATGATTAGCTAGGCAAATAATAAAATGTGAGATATTTTGATGAATTGAAAATATTAGAATAGGCCTCTTTTAATAGGCTCACTGAAGGTATAAAAATTTTATCTGAGAGTTTGCTGATTTGTATACATAATGTAATTATTGTAATGAAAGAGAAAAGCTAGGAAAATTATGACATGTTACTGTAATTCTCCTTAAAGAACTTTATTAATGTTTTAAGGGTTTGGTTGTGTATTTTTAAAATTATAAAACCTAAGGTAAACAAAATCAGAGCCCTTTTTTGGGGGTGGGGGAATTCCCTGCGAGTGATTGGAATTTCATCATATACAGAATAAATAAATTGGAACCTATTAATAAATTTAACAATAATTTTAGTATATGAAAGCAAAAAATTATAAGGCTGTTGTATTTTATATCTGTAATGCACAAAAGCTTATTTAAAACTGTTTGATTATTATTATTAATAAGTATACTATATTTTATATGGAGTGTAAAAGATTATTAAAACTGTAGAATCTACTTAGATTACCTCTGAAACCAGGAGCTTGTAAATATTATCTGTGTCTTTTTTTTTTTTTTTTTTTTTTTCCTTTTCCTTGCTAAATTCATTTTGTTTTTGATTTCATTCTGATTTGAAAATTATTGTTTCAGAAAGAGAATCTTTTATAGAAATATGCTGTTTTCCTCATTTTAAACAACATATAGTTGTTGCACTGTCTTATTTTATGTGGTGGATTTGTATTTAATGTATGTTCATTTCATTGTGTATTTTATTCACTCATCAATTTTGTTTGAATTTTGAGTCTTTATGAGGATAAACAAAATTAAACTGATAGTAAACTAATTTTAAGTTATAGAACTTTTTTCCCAGCATGATCAGGTTATGCTCTGCCTTTTATCATTATATTGCTGTTCTGTTCCAACTAATCATAAAATTTTATAGATGTCGTATTCCAATGGGAAATCTGTTTAGCAAAGTTTCACTTGTGTAAAGAAGTTAAAGGCTGTGACGCTTTTCTGTTTAAAAGTTGTATATTGCAAATCTGTTCCTAAAATGTTGACATTTTGCAGGTTCCAATATTTTTATGAACATCATTTTTAATGGAAGCTGTCTCTCCTCTTGATGGATAAATGGTTTGATTCATTGCTATATGGATTTCGTTTTATTAGTCATAAATTCTATTATGTACTTAAATTTATGTACTGT